TCACCCTGGGACACCCTGTATATAAAATCAATTTCTCCGTATCGGATGCACTTATGGGCAACGCGGTGTGAAGTGTGGAGACTCGGCAATGCTCATGACACTAATCTCGGGAGTAATTCGATTCGACTCGAGGCGCCCGTTCCATACTCGCGCGAGTAGAAGCAAAAGCAGACGCCCGAATTAGCCGAGTCGATCGCGAATTCAATCAAGACTCAGCCTCGCGCGCCGCCGCCACCACCGCTACAAAGGACCCGAATTTGAATCATAGAGAGTTACGACTTGTCGTCAAACTCCCGATCCCGCCCTCCGCATCCAACGCATACACTCCCGTCTTAAGGAAAAGCGCCGTATGAACCTTCAAGCGTTGCCAAATTTACTTCGATAAAAACCAAAGTTACTGAGAAAATTGAGAATATTCTTTTCAAAAAAGTTTAGGCAATTTTGTACGCAATACAATCTGAAATATCAGAAAATTTCAAAGAAAAATGTGCATTATTGTCGTCAAAAATACATGTTTTATGAAGGGAAATTTGGCAACTCTCGAATATTCATACGGCGTTCTTCCTTAGCACGGCAGTGCAGTGGCGTGGTGTGTTTTGCGGTAAATCGAATGATCTGCCATTTAAAGCTATGGAAAAGGATCGATAAACAGGGTGCTCGCAACCAACACCCTAATAATCGATTCTTTACCATAGCTTCAAATGGGGATGTGTCGAAAATCGATCGTTCACGCCTCGCTATTGAATGCATACCCTTCTGGACATTTTTGGCGGCTCTGTTAATCCGTGTTGGGGGGAACGTAAAGTGGAAGTTTCGACACCGTCGTTAGTGGAATGGGTTTGTGGCGCAAAAAGATAATTCAGAGTGTCTCCTTTTGTGTGGCTTATTTCAATACTTTAAATATATGAATTTCAAAATTGATAAGGTACCCCGCGAAAACATTCCGATGTGTGCGCAGGATTGCCATAGTCGAGGAAAACCGGGAAATGTCAGGGAATTCAAATAGGCGGATCCATGGAGAGGGGCATAGGGGGCGTGTGTTCCTCCCGTTCGCTCAAAAAAAGGAGGAAAAAAAAGGGAAGTACACTTAAAAAAAGAGATTGGTAGAATTTACCATTCTCAAGTTGATTCTGCCAGAAAAATGGTTACATGTACCAGTATAAAGTAACGTTTACCTTTCTTCTGGCAGAATTGACTCTAAATTGACGCTGTGTGAAATACAGCGTGAAGGAATGGTAAATTCCACCAATCTTTCTTCTCAGTGTAAGAAAGACGAAAGGAATAACGGAGGAAACAAAAAGGTAGGACGCTCAGATTTGGTAATCATTCATGTCTAAATTGACACCAACTGTACATTTAATGCTTTAAAATTGGCGATAAGCGCTGCGTTTCATTCAATATCATAGGAATTCTTTTAGCTGGCTAAAGAAGGCTACAGAAAATCATATAGCTGGCTGATGAATGCGGAGAAAATCATATGGCCGGGCTATACGAAGCGATAAAAAATTATGCGGCCGGGCTATAGTTCCTATCGCCGAGCTTTACACTTTATCGTCTGGCTGTTGCTTTTTCGCCATCGATTATGAAAGGCTATAAGAAGTTGTGTAGAAATTCGTGTGCTTTGGAAATCATTAAGTTTGATACGGAACCACCTTAATATTTACAAAACACACATTAAATTTTCCTTCAATACATATTTGTTTTCATCAATTAAAATGAGAATAATCCATACAGGATGTGCAAACATTTCAAAATCATGAGTTGAATAACGCTGACTCCGCCAGATTAAATATTAGAGCCTAACACAAAGCGGAGCGGCGACGCACTGGCGCCTACAAACCTAACAGGGATACTTCACGCATTGCGCAACGCGTGAAGTATCCCTGTTAGGTTTGTAGGCAGCAGCGCAGCGTGCCACGGCGCTTGGGGCAACTATTTCACACCAGAGGCATTGCACAGTATCATACGAAACTGAAGGCGCTCTAATATATTAGGACTGGCAGGCATCCATCAAAAGTACAGAGCTTTCCTTGCAAAATAAATCAAGATACTACGGCCCAAAAAGAGAGCAGCAGTCCAAAAACTCACTAAGTCCTAGCATCCGTAATTAGTAACGTTTAGCATACACTTTATCGCCAGGCTGTTGCCTAGTCGCCATCAGCTATAAAAAGCTATAAGCAATTGTGTAGCCAGCTATAGAAGCTATTGGAAATCTTACAGCCGGCTGTAGGTCTATGGTGTTTTGGAACACAGATTGGACTGCCAATTTTTACCAGGGGACATTTCTCATCTGGGAGGCCGCCAGTACTCCCCTTCCTCCCTCTCATTCGAAGTCTGGATTCGCATATGTAAACAATCAGTATCAGTAGAAAATGGGGAAGTCTACACTGGAAAAAAAGTAGCTTGGATCTAGAGTCCAGACTCTCAAAAACATTGACAAGAAAAAATACTCTTGATTCAATCGGATTTCAGCTTAAATCAAGAACCAAGCCTCTTAATTTAAGCGGACTTCGTTTTGATTCAAGCAAAAATCCGATTGAATCAAGAGTATTTTTTCTTGTCGTTATTTTCAAGAGTCTGAACGCTAGATCCAAGCGACTTTATTTTTCCAGTGTACAAAATGACGAGTAAAAACCAAGCAAAAATTGTCAAACCACCTCCTCTATTCATATTCTGGAATGTGTTTGAAGTGCCAAACAACAAATTTTGAGTGTCGGATTCGGAAGTGCCGATTTTTAACCATCCTGCATAGCGTTTAATGTCAATCAACGTTAATGAACATTTGTCAAGGAAATAAAAAAAAATGACAGGGGATTTCATTGTCTAAAATTCTGAGGCAACCGTCTTTGTAAAATAGGGTGCCAGGTTCTCGAAAAGTCAGGGAAAACGTGGAAAAGCTAGCGGATAATACTCAACCTTTGAAAGTCAAGACATTTTGACTGGAGTTATCTGCAGAATATCTATCATGACATGAACCCTGTCATGCATGTACTCTTATGGATCACAGGGATCATGTCAGGATGGATATAGTTACTTTTGATATAAATACGTCCAACAAAAACAGATCATGTCCGAAAAATTGACTTTTCCCATATACTGTGAGTCGCCCGACCATCTCCAGAAAAATGCCTACGATCCCAGGGCATTTTCACTCAATAAAGGCACAAAACCCTGTCAGGATGGATACTATTCCTTTTGATATAAATACGTCCAACAAAAACAGATCATGTCCGAAAAATTGACTTTTCCCATATACTGTGAGTCGCCCGACTATCTCCAGAAAAATGCCTACGATCCCAGGGCATTTTCACTCAATAAAGGCACAAAAAGAGCCAAATGGGACATGGATAAAAGTCTGGCGAGGTCCTGGTCGAGGAAGGGAATCGGGTGGGGGTGGGGGGGAGCATCATCATAGGATAAAAGAGAGCAGCAGTGGGACGCACTTCAAGCGAACGTAGTTATATGAAGTCTCTTCAGTCGGACTCCTCCAGTGTTGCCACTTAGTGAGGGTTTTCCAAAATGTTCCGCTTTCATGTATCGAGGTTGATCCAAAATTCTGCGACGCCGTAATTAGATGTGACCGCAAAAAAGCAGAGCGCCTTTGAAATGGCCGTCAGCCGGAAACTGGGAAGAGCCCATGAGGGGGGAGTGGGAGAAGGGGTAGGGGGTGGGGGGGGGCAGGAGACCTCCAATTAAACGAACGACTCTTCTTTCGTTCTTTTCGCAGTCGGGAGTAATTAGTTCTTGAGTCTGATCGCGGAAATCGCTGGTAGCCGTGGAGACATTTCCATGAATGGGCCACCCTGCAATTAGCTTTATCGAGACATTTCGATGGCTTCTTTTACTTAAAAAGAGAGGATCTTATTATCATCCGCGATTGGGGGAATTCTGAATTGGACGTATTTCTGTCTAACGGAACTATGTAAATTATGACGTGAGCCCTGTTATGCATGTGTCTTCATGAGTCTGAGGGCTCATGTCTTAATGCACATAGTTCCGTTTGGTAGAAATACGTTCAATTGTCTGCACCGAAAAGGAAAAAAAGTAGTTCTTGCCGCAGCTAAATCTAGTCGGTGCCGCACACTTGAAAAAATATTGATAATGCTGTATCCCGACTACCACCGTAGCACCTGACCTTCCGACTATTGTTTGCACGATGCGCCACTATAGTTAATTGAAAAAACATAAAACAGAAATGTGGTCCGCACTGTAAGGAACTGATCAGTATTCCAATTTTCTTTTTGGTATTTCATTGCATCTACCTGAACTGAACACTATCTTTCTTCAGCCCTGCTCTGACGCGGATTAGAGTTCAACTTTTAGAATACCCCGAGAAATGAAAACATCCAGCAAAACCTGCCAGAATTGTCTCTGGTTGGTAATGTGTGTGTGTTCCTGAAAACGGTTTGTGAAGTTAGGTCAGGGTGTCTGCTAAAAGTCCCCAATGCCCCCGATTATCCCCGATTTTGGAAGGGCGTCCTCAATATCCCCGGAAGTCCCCAATTTTCTTGTTCAGGTCCCCAATAAATGGCAAAAATCGTCCTGAACATCGGCATTTTCAAATGTTCCCGCCAGCCGCGGCGGCGCAGTAGAACCAGAAATAAAAAACTGAAGTCTTGCTTGGTTTTTCATTTGTTTTCATCGGTTCAATATGACTTGTGAAAATAGTCGTATAAAATACGCCTTTTAACGCTGTAACTAGCTCCCTTTCTCTTACTATTTGCGGAAAAAGACCCCGATTTTCTTGAAAAGCTCCCTTAAAGTTCCCGAAAGTCCCCAAATTTGGTTTTTCATTACTGGTAGACACCCTATAGGTAAAGGAACGACCAGGAATTTATCTCTTATTATTCACACGACCCCTGAATCCAAATCCCTAATGAACAGATCGAAGCAGTTGTTATAAAATAAAATGCGTTTGGAAAAACGCTCTGTTCTTCTTTTGATTCTCTCATTTATTGCGTAGATTTGCGTTGCATTGAATGTTGATTTGTGTGTTGCAGAGACGGAGGTGCGATGGCCGCGGTTTTCGGGGCAGGGGTGGCTGGCGCTGCCGCCCCTGCAGGCGGCGTACAAGCATGTGCAGATGCTCATCGAGTTCCGGCCGGAGTCCTGGCACGGGATCCTCTTCCTCACCGGAGAACGCGACGACCTCGCCGGAGACTTCATCGCCATCCTCCTCAACCAGGGCTTCATCGAACTCAGGTAACCAACCCGTCTCCTCCCCATTATCCAATACTCAACAGCAGCCTGGTTGTTGAAATTTATGTCGGCACGACAAGAATCGAAAATCGATGTATCACACGGCGCAGATAGGGTTATGTCTTGTCTTATCGTACCGACATAGCCAGTTAATTATAGTTTCAACAATCCGGCTGCTGGGCAATACTGCCGTGCTAAGGAAAAACGCCCTATGAGCCTTCAGACGTCGCCAGATCTCCTTTGATAAAAACCGAATTTACTGGAAAAATTGTTAATATTTTTTGTCAAACTTTTCAGATAATTTTTTTTGCAATTTGCTCTGAAACATCTGAAAATTTCACGGAAATATATGCACAACTTTACTAAGAGATACATGTTTTATCCGGATAAATTTGGTAACTCTCAAATGTTCATACGGTGTTCTTCCTTAGCACGGCAGAATAATGGACCAGTAGACAACGCCACACATTTAAGCATACTTATTCATGTTCTTTACCCAAATTGGCCTGCGGGCCGATTATTGAAATTGATAGACAAAGCTATGGACAAAGAAGACAAAAGAGGTACATGGAGTGTTTGCAACAGACAATGGAGGTAGGTAAGAGACTAACTAACAGCAACCCACGATGGACCCTAAAGTAAATCCATCATTTTCTCCCTTAGTCTGTAAAAACCATGCATTTCGACTGATAGGATCGTCATACTCCCTATGTCTTCTTTGACCATTGCTTTGTCTATCAATTTCAATAATCAGCTCACTGATGCAAACTGCGCTAGAGCAAAAAGAAGAGTTATTTCTCTTAGAATTTCGAATTTTCAGTATGCCATGCCAATGATTTAGGAGCAACTCTCCACGTTCCGTAAAATTGAAGTCATTTTAAAATAAGGGAAAAATTTAGGACATTTTATCGTTATAATGTTCTCTCCTTGTCGTACTGGATAACTTATAAAGCTATAGAGAGTAGCCTCCGTTCTTATGCTCTCAATGTTGAAACGATAATATTTCGTTCAAAGCAATTTCATGCTCAACATTCGTGGAAAGTCATATGCACGAAGAGAAAAACCTCGTGCGTGGGACCCGAAGTTTAGGTCATATGGATCCCTGAAGTTTTCGGATTGAGCATCTGAACACTATAGGTCTAGCTGTCGAGGTTCGGATCACACATCTGAAACTCCAGTTCTTACATCTGAAGTACTTCAGATGTGAGAACCGAAGTTTTTCGGATATGAGAACCGAAGTTGTTCGGATGTGAAAACCGAACTACTTCAGATGTAAGAACTGAAGTTTCAGACGTGTGATCCAAACCTCAGCAGCTGGACCTAAAATGTTCAGATGCTCAATCCGAAAACTTCAGAGATCCATATGACCTAAACTTCGGGTCCCACGCACAAAATTTTTTTCTCCGTGTCGGTTTCAGAATTTTCATGTGAAAGAATAAACTCTAAAATGTCGAGAATGAGTGAGGCAATTATGCAATTTGAGAATACTTATCACCGTGCGTAAAATTCAATACCAATCAAGCATCCAGACTGAACTTTTAAATTAAGGTCCTTCATTACAGCTATACATTGAATTCGGCAGAACTTCAAATATTCACATCCGTACGGGCCAGCCGAGTCTCGTAAATATTCCGATAGCGAGATTACATGTAAAATCGGTCGCTGGGAAATGGGAAATTGCACCGTATATTGTCAATTAACTGCCAGTGCACGAAATGCCATTTGATTCGTGTAATTGAAAATAATTCATTGCTTTAAAAAAATAATAGTCCACCGCATTTTAGACACTGGTACCGCGTTCTTGTTGTGTTATTACACGCGTATTATTATGCATTCCACGGATTCTACTCCTCGACTGGAATAGCCTCAGTAGATGCACGCTAAAAAGGCGTAAGTCTAAGAACTCATGAGCCTCAGCTTCCCGTGTACTCAACGAAACCCAGGGCTCATGAGTTTTAAAACTTAAGTCCTTTCAGCATGCATCGATTCAATTATTCGGAAGCGTCGAAGTGGCCGAGAGATATGAAATTAAAATTGGGATACGTAAAATGAATGATAGTTATTTAATTTGTTCCGATTTTGAGCTCAATCGAGAAATCCGTGCACAATGCATTGCCAAACTGAGCATTTGAAAAGTTGTGATCTAAAGCAATTTTTTGAGAATTTTACTGCGCACCTGCATTTTTAATAAGGAGATAGACTCAATTTTCGTATCGTATTCAAAATTAAACGAATATAGCACATTTTGCGGCAGTAAGTTCAAGCATTAACTACTGAGTTATTGAAATGTGCACTCAACATAAGCAATTTGTTATTCCCAAGACCAAAAAAACGTTACTTAATTCCAGGGCTGCAAAGCCGACTCGTTCAAATCTATTTTGTACACGAATTCGACCGGTCAATTTCTGTACAAATGCTACTGTTTCACTGTAGTATAATCAGCGGAAAAATCACTGGTATTTTTCGTTTGAACGCTCGGCTCTACAATCAAAATTGTTCTCAAGTTATAAAATTTATGAAAATAATCATATGGCGAGGTCATGTTAATCCTGATGATTTATATGGCCTTAATCCTAAAAAAATTGTAGTGAAAATGTGCTAGCAGTGGCGTGGCATGCTTTGCAATTTATCGATAAATCTGCCATTTAAACCTATGGCAAAGGATCGATTAACAGGGTGTTCGCAACAAACACCTTAATAATCGATTCTTCACCATAGTTTCAAATGGGGAAATATCGATACTCGACCATTCACTCCTCGCCACTGTATGCTATCAAAGCTGAATTAAACGTAAATTCAGACATGCTCTCACACGATTGAACCATAAATAGACTTCATTTTGCAAGTAGGATCGATAATTTCTGGATCAGTTTAGAAACAACGTATGTACCATTTGTTTTACCTTGCACCTCAGTGTTTTTACAGATGAGCCAGGAATTATAGTTCCGAATTGCAAAATGTAGTACAAATGTAAGGTATTAAACTCAAGGTGTCCGTATAACCAACTTTTTTGAGGGCTCTTTTCGAAAAGACCTTCATTCTATGACAAGGAATCACCACTCTTAGATCACTTACCAAATCATGCACCTCCAGAGAACTATAAAATCTATTCTAAGGTTTCAAAAGTGATTGAAAAAAATCAATTTTTTACAAGAATAAACTTACATAATTTGCATCGAGAATTTGTCTGGTTTTCGCATGAGATCAGAAGAAAAATCAGTGAAATTGTCAGTCAGCAATTCCTAAAATTCTCCCAGAAAAAATGCAATTTGCACTGAAAAATCTGGCATCATCGTAATGTAGTTACGTTTTCACGTGAGATAAACGACGAAAAACCAAAGGCGCAACAGCACCTATTTCCAAGAAGAGTAAGGAGCGAGGAGATAACTATTTTAACTTCCCAGTTGTGTAAATTGTATCGTGTGATTTTGAAGGCGCTTCGCCCTACCGAACAGTGCATCTCTGCCGTGCAAAGCAAAATCGCCGTAAACGCCATTTCATACGTTTTGGAAACAAGGTATCATCGCAAAAAAACTTGTGTACCTTGGGTCAATATTTTTACAAAATTCTTCCGCAAATACTATCATGAACTTAACCTGAAAATTTGAGGTGCATGGGTAAAACAATTTTTATTTTATTAAGTGTTAAGCTCCAAAAAACGAGAGGAAATCTTGATGGGTGTACGGCGTTCTTGCTTAGCACGGTAGATCTCGGTCGACGTCTTTAATGGCCTCCGAATAACATTGCAAAACTACTTGCAAGAAGAGGAAGGGGCGAGGAGATAACTATTTTAACTTCCCAGTCGTGTAAATTGTATCGTGTGATTTTGAAGGCGCTTCGCCCCGCTGAAGAGTGCATCTCGGTCGACGTCTTCAATGGTCTCCGAATAACATTGCAACGCTGCTTGCAAGAAGAGGAAGGGGCGACGAGATATGTCGTGAAAAACGAGTCCGGATTCAGGAATGATTTTCATCGGAAAATTTAGTACAGATTAATGTATATTGTCGTTGTCTTTCTCATACTATTTTACACATAAAATTAGATTTAACATCGAAAAGATAGGATGCATGGACGTATTTCTGCTAAACGGGACCATGTGCATTAAGACATGAGCCCTGAGACCCATAAGAATATATGCGTAACAGGGCTCACCTCATTATGCACATAGTTACGTTTGGCAGAAATACGTCCAAATATGTATTAAGCCGGACGAGCTTGTTATTTTTGAACGCGCAAACACCATTATTCCGATTGCCTCTCTTTCCCTTCATGGGGGAGGAAATCGTTTTAGAGACGTTTCATGCCCGTAGTCATGGCAACACGCGACAAAACTTTCTCCCCCCCCCCCCCACATCCCTCTTTCTGACTTGTTTTTGCACTTTCGCAGCATAATATTGCCGGAAATGCAGCTGTGCTTAAATATTTCAGCACAACAAGAATAGGTCCGCTCTAATTCGATAAGCTGACGCTCTGCGAGGGTTCAGAGCCCATAACAATATTCTTAATAGCGCATTAACGCTCAACTAACGAGTTAAAATATCCTTGAAAGCTGGAAAATGTTCTAGAGATGTTTCTTTAAAATAGAGACGAATATACGAGATCTGTTAGATTAGAAACCGGATTTCGGTCATAACTATTCCGAAATGCGTCCAAATTAGGTTTTCTTGAACTTTCCTGATAGCTGGAAATATATTTAAGAACGCTACGTTCACAAATTTGAAAAATTGGACTACATTTTGCAATTTGGAACTGTAAATTACGGCCCGGTTTAAAAACAACGTATGTTCCATAAGTTTCCCCGTACACATAAGTCTTTTTCCAGAAGAGCCAGAATTTATAGTTCCAAATTGCAAAATGCAGTCCAATTCTAATTAGCTTTGTTGATATGTGCCTTGAAGGAAGGCAACCTCGTGGGTGTTCTGCGACTTTTATGTTTCACCGAACTTGTCTCTCTTTTTTCGGTCTTGCACTACATTTTTCAACTTTCAAGGATGATCGGAGATTCGTCTCCATATCGTAGCCGTACACTCAAGTATTGTCACCGAAATACGGCGTTTTTCCTTAGCACGGCAGCGGGACGATTGCTGAAATTGATAGACAAAGCTACAGACAAACAAGACAAAAGAGATATGGAAGGATCCTATCGGTGGAAGCGGGTGGTTGCAATGGACGAAGAAGGTAGGTACCTAACAGACTAACTAACGGCGACCCACGAAAGATTCGATAGTTACTCCATCATTTTCTCGCTCTGTCTGTGGGAACCACCCATTTCAACCAATAGGATCCCTCCATACTCCGCCATACTATGGATTCTTTGTCTATAGCTTTGTCCATCAATTTCAACAACCAGCCCGAGTATTGGTGGTGCACGGAGAGAAAAACCTCGTGCGTGGGACCCGAAGTTTAGGTCATGTGGATATCTGAAGTTTTCAGATTGAGCATCTGAACATTTAAGGTCTAGCTGTCGAGGTTTGGATCACACATCTGAAACTTCAGTTCTTACATCTGAAGTACTTCAGATGTGAGAACCGAAGATTTTCGGATGTGACAGCCGAAGTTTTTCAGATGTGAAAACCGAAGTACTTCAGATATAAGAACTGAAGTTTCAGATGTGTGATCCAAACCTCAGCAGCTGGACCTTAAGTGTTCGGATGCTAAATCCGAAAACTTCAGAGATCCATATGACCTAAACTTTGGGTCCTACGCACGAAGTTTTTTTTCTCCGTGTAAACCAGGTGGTAAAACGCATTTCGATTTGAGCGTGATGCATCATAGGAACTTTAGAAATCGTTACAGACAGGAAAATAAAACGGAGAATTGAGACTCTGAGTGCTCCCGGAGCGTTGAAACTTTCAATTTGCTGTAAATCGTAAAATTTTCAAGAAGTAGCCCTTGAGCTATTTCCAACACTCCATTAGTTCCAGTCCATTCAGACCGAATCGAAACATTTCTCCTCCGCGGCGCATTGTGTCGAATGCATTGTGTTGTCGAATCGGACGTATTTCTGTCAAACGGAACTATGTGCATTAAGACATGAGCCCTGAGACCCATAAGAATATAAGCATAACAGGGCTCACGTCATAATGCACATAGTTCCGTTTGACAGAAATGTGTCGAATTGGATCTCCCATTCATCGCGATCGCTCAAGTAGAAATCATCGTTTCGTTGCGTCCTCGGGAAAGCAGACTTTCATAACACTCGTATTGGAAATGAAATTATCAAGTTATTGACGAACTATCTAATAAAAATTTATCGAGATCCCTCTTTATTTTATTATCAACCGAAGAAGCGTTCGGGGGAAAACGGCTTGATTGTTCGATGCGTCAAGAATAGAGCAATATTACCGTGAAATTAATTTGTTCTTGAGCAAAAGCACGCTGGTCCTGGTGGTGAAACGAAAAGCTCGATAAAAGCCCGCAACGTTGAGGCCGTAATGGGCCTGTTGCAAACTTTTGCTAGAGCAAAAATAAGAGTCGTTCCGTGTACAGATAATGTCTCAAAATTCACAATGAGCGCATCGGCAAACTGTGAAATTCACTCCTAATTTCACAATCTGCGTAAGAAATTTGCGTTTTTTTAAGATTCCCGCTTCAAAAATGATACTACGGCATAGGTGGATCGAGAGTTTGACTTGATATAGGGGTGGACTCTCATGGTAGCGTGGGAGATCCTCTCCACTACGACCTCAACTTTGAGAGCTTTGAAGTATGTTTCAGAGAAAACCAGTTGCACCATCGTGTTTCTCGCAAAATTACACATAAGCATCAGTACTTAAATCGCAAATTTCTGACACATGCAACAAGCTCATAGCGCACTGATTACTGGATTGCAATTTTTTTTAAAGTGTGACATTCGTGATTTTTGTGCCACTTCACCCCTTAAAAGATTTATTCTTACGGCTGTATATCTAGCGCGCAACAGACCTAATCGAGCAAATGTTTTTCTTCTTACTACTTTTCTACTGCATACTGTCTTCTGATTTTTTTAAATTTAATTTTTTTTGTCAACAGATTCGATTGCGGATCAGGGGTAGGCGTGGTGAGGTCTGACGAAACGGTCAAGTTGAACCAGTGGAACAAATTGACCGTTTACAGGCATCGATGGAACGCCTGGATTCAGTTCAACAACGGCAAACACATCCAGGGTCGATCCAAGGTCAGTTTACTCATAATCTACCAAGTCTTCTTTATTATATTCACGCACCGGTGAATTGAACGTAGTAATGCTGAAAGGACAGCGTTAAGCAGCAAGGAACCAAGCCACATCAGATTTTGCCTAATTTAATGTGGAAATATTGGATTTTACATTCAGCCGTTTTCTTTTTTCGGAATGATAACTGGATTGCATTTTGCAAAAAGGAACCACTAGCATTGCAATGACGCTAAGATTGTGCAACTTCATCTTTTGCAATAAAATTGCGGAAATCGTGAAAAACTATGAAATTTAGATGGTAATTTTTGTCTTAAATTTATAGTTTTTAGCGAGTAAAATAGAAACTATTAATGGATAATCGGATTTTTCCTCCAAGACAAAAGAAGTTGCACAATCTTAGCAACATTGCAATGCTAGTAGTTCCTTTTTGCAAAATGCAATCCAACTGATAGGGAGTTCTCATGACAAAAATATGAGTTCAAAATCTCACATGAAAACATATATCTCAAAATTGAGCCAGCTTTTTCACGCGACACCAATTACAGAGAGTGTAGATGTCTTTTTCGGAAGGCTTTTTGTGGATTTCTCGCGAGACTCCCTCCCTTTCAACTTGATGACTGGTACGATTCTAAGTTATCGGAAAGCAATGACGAGGCGTGAATGATCGATTATTATCGATATTTCCCAATTGAACTATTGTAAAATTTGATTATCGTGGTGCAAATGTACTATCGATCCTTTCTTTAGGTTTGAATGGTAGGTCAATCGATGTATTGAAAAGCACGCCACGCCACTGTTGGAAAGAGCACATTCATCATGATATCGGGAAGATCATGTACCATCTTCTTTAAAAAAAAAAAAAACGGGGAAGGGGTTGGTTTCAACTTCAGTTGATCTGATTTATTTTGATTCAAAAATTTAATTTTAAAATTTGGTTGTATTCATACTATCAAACTCGTGGAGACATCTCTATTTTTCTAAATTTTCTCTGAAGCATGCAGTGACTAGGTTTCGTCCCTTTATGTTTTGCTTTAGTTGGACGTTAGTTTGACCGGCCCCTAGGCGATTCACTCATGATGATCATTGAATATCGACGGTGAATTTGGACTGCATTTTGCAATTTGGAACTATAAATTTTGGCTCTTCTGGAAAAACGTTTATGTGCATAGGAAAACTAATGGCATATACGTTGTTTTTAAACCGGGCTAGAATTTATAGGTCCAAATTGCAAAATGTGGTCCAATTACCAAACCGTGTATCTACGTTTGCGACGTCGCAGACCTCCTGTCATACTCTATTAAATGCAGAACTATACTTTTCGTCAGTTTCAAACAACTCCCGCGGTTTTTCCCCCTTTTTGCGAAGGAAATTCTGAAGAATTCAAGGAATGATATTGACGTGTTCTCTTTTAAAGAAATAACAAGTTGGATTTTGCAATCGCTAGCGATAGCAATATTCGTCATGGGAACGTTAGCTTCTGGGATATGAAAATGTTAAGGTACAGTTCGTTTTTAGTATCTTCTGAATTGAAGGGGCTATGTAATTTTGTGTTGACATCTCTTTTTTAACATTTTTAATTATTTTCTTTGCATACAAGAAAGCTGTTATGTACCAATTATTTATTTTCGTTGGATTATATATGGTTTTCGGAAGTTAACGCATTTAAGTTTCAGGTTCGCTTTTTCGGCGTAAAGTGTACATAAGGTGTCCCAAAAGCACCGGGACTTGTTCTGTAACTTCGAAAGTAAGATAGATACAGACATGATCTTGATTTCATTTTAAAGATCAACTCAATACCTATCGATTAAAACCAAGATCAGCTCAATCGGATAAAAATTGACCGAGTTATGGCAATTTGAAATCAGCGAGGAAAGTTTACGCCTACGGTTTTTAAAGAAGATTCTTCATCGCCGTAAATCGAAAAGTCGGCCGATAAAGTGATGCTTATTGTGTTTTTTTATTTTCGAGGTGTCATTTATCAACATTTTGTACCATCAAACACAACAGTTGACAGTGCGTATTATTGCAAAGTACTAAAGAAGTTGAGAATGCACATTTCCCGGAAACGGTCGGACTTGAAAGCTTCGTGGATACTCCATCAAGACAATGCGCGGCCTCACACATCGAGCTTAACACGTGAATTTATGAGTAAAAATGGAGTTGAAACAATCCCTCGTCCCCCTTATAGTCCTGACTTGGCTCCATGTGATTTTTGGATGTTTCCTGCGCTTAAAAAGGAGCTTCGCGGACGAAGATTCGTATCGAAGACAAAAATCCAGAATGCAATTCAAAACTTCTTCAACTCCATCCCAGAGGAAGAATTCAGGAAAACAATGTTGGATAAGTGGCAAGAGCGCATGAAAAAGTGCATCCGGTTTGATGGACGGTACTTTGAAAAGCAAAAGGAAGTTATGGAAGATTCGGAGGAAAGTGGATACGAATATTAACTTTTTGAATCCTGGTAAGCGAAAAATCTTCCTAAAAACCGTAGGGGTAAACTTTCCTCACTAATTTCAAATTGTCATAACTCGGTCAATTTTTATTTGATTGAGCTGATCTTGGTTTTAATCGATAGGTATTGAGTTGATCTTTAAAATGAGACCAAAATCATGTCTGCATCTATCTTACTTTTGAAGTTACAGAACCAATCCCGGTACTTTTGGGACACCCTACGTATGATATTTTTACTCTACACATATGCCCAAATACGCATCATAAGGGACCTATGTGCTTCCTAAGTTGCCAAGTATTAATTATTGTTAGATTATTGGTCTAAAACATTCAATACAACCAGTAAAAATTAGCTGTCCCCTACGAGATTCGAACCCCCGCTCGCACAAAAAGTGTCACTCTTCCAGAGGCAGAAAGGTAACGCAGCCATTTGAGCTATTTCGCTGCTCAGATACGCTTGGAGAAAAAGAGAACACTTAAGTGATCTCGGACGCTGAGCGGGGCTTCACAAAAGACGTCCTTGAGATTTCAACGGTTCGGCCACTGGCGTGATAAGACACAACGGATCAACCGCATTACTCTGTGAGACATTGTTTACCTATGCTGTCATGTGTCACGAGGTTCATATCAACAGGCATTTGCGATCGCGGCAGTAAGCTCAGGCAATATTTCTGTATTCATGGATTAAATCCATCAATCGAGTTCTGATTTTGGCTCATATATCCGTAACGGGTCCTCCAGAGCAATTTTCCACCTTGTACGATGGTTATTATTTCTTTATATCTATGTTTAAAATTTGAGGTGGGATAATGGCGGCTTCTCAAGAGCAACGAGGTAGGCGATCTTTTGCACCAACGAACAGAAAACTGATGGCGAAAAATAACCAATCAGAACCTCCCAAAAAAAAGAATTTGCCTAAAAACGGAACTTCGTGGTTCTGCGCAGATTTACCAGTCAGAAACGACATCTCAAGGTGGAAAAAAACTCGCTGAAAGCGAATTTTAGCAATCAACACAACTTGAAGTAGAGACATGATTGGCTAAAAAATACAACGGTTTTTGATACATCGGAAAATCAACCAAAAATCGGAGACTGGGCGAAACGCTCAAGGTCGCAGAGGTATAGGGAATCCCATAGTGAAAGCAACGGAACGATTCTAATATCATGGGGAACTCCGTTCCCATGACAAAACAAGGGCGGCAATTTGTAAATACCACAAACGATATACGTGGTATGGGAGTTTTACCATCGATATGTGTAACAACCACTTTTGAAACAATTTTCCCCAGATCACTTAGAGTCACCTTAACATTGTCACCTATCCAGCAGTCCATTCTAGGCTTAACATGGCACTGCCGTGCTGAAGAAGATCGTTGTACCAGCCATCATGCCTTGCCAAATTTCCGTCGACAAATCGCAAATTTTCAGGCAAATTTGTGAGGCGATTTTTCAGAGAATTTCGTTCGTAATTTGATCTAAAAAATTGAAAATTTTTAGGAAAAATAATGGAGATGTTGCATGTGTGATGACTTTGCTATTTGACTACTGATTCTTATGTGGAAGTTCGCGAGAAACACGATGGTGCCACTGTTTTTCTCTGAAATTAACTCCCAAGCTCAAAAAAAGCTCTCAAGTTGAGGCCAAAATGGAGGGGATATCCCACGCTATCCTGAGAGTCCACCTCTACATCAAGACAAGCTCCCCATGCAAAGATAGGGAGCAAATACATTGACAGGGCTTTCACTTTATTTGGAGACTCTAAAACGGAAATCACGGCAACCCTGCTAATGTCTTTGCTCTCAATCTTTGCATGGAGAGTTTGTTTGGATGTAGAGGTGGACTTTCAGGGTAGGGCTGGATATCCCGTCCATTTTGGCCTCACTTTGAGAGTTTTTTTGAGCTGGGGAGATGATTTCAGAGAAAACCAGTGGCACCATCGTGTTTCTCGCGAACTTTTACATAAGAGACAGCATTCAAATCGCAAATCCCTCACACATGCAACATCTCCATTATGAATTTCTTCAAAAGTAAATACTTTCTAAGAGAAAATTTGGCAACAATCGAATGCTTGCATTGCATTTTTACTCAAGTCGGCAAGGCAGCCCTCGTCTCAGAAAGTTCGCAACTTTGATTGCATTACAGTTCGAGGTAATTTCGCGTTTCGGCACCCCTGTGACCCCAACATGAGGGCGGTTGCTCTTATTATCGGCGTGCATGAAATAATTCCCACGCGCTACTTCGCGGGTGGGCGTACTCGCGTGCAGCGGCGTGGCGTGAATTGCGATCTATCGATCGTTATGCCATTTAAACCTATGGAAAAGGATCGATAAACAGGGTGTTTGTAGCGAACACCTTAATAATCGATTCTTTACCATAGGTTTAAATGGAATGACAATCGATACATCGCAATTCACGCCACGCCACTCGTGGTGTGAATTGCGATACATCGATTGTTATGGCATTTAAACCCATGGAAAAGGATCGATAAACAGGGTGTTCGCAGGGAACACCTTATTAATCGATTCTTTACCATAGGTTTAAATGGCATAACA